ATTTACTATAGTGAAGTATATACAGATTTTTACAATGTTACTCTAAAGAGTGATGATTAGAGGGGAAGATGCCAAAGACAGGCTGAAAGGAGGGTACACTACAAAGAGCTGTACTCCAGGGACTCTGTACACACCAATTTCAGCCTAACATCACAACGGCTGAGTCAAGAGTGCTCTAGTCACTGTCACTAGTGTCACAGGAATCTGGAAAGGATGTATTTAATCACTATCTATTACTTTAGAATTTTTCCCTTCCCTTTTTAAAAAAGTTCTTCTGAAACTATACCTCATCATCTATCTGGGCTCAACATGACACTCCACAACAGTCTAAAACATAAAGAGCTGAGCAGAAGAGGCCAGTTATAAAATAAGTATATGCTGTGGAATTCCACTTATGTAAAACACAAAACAGCTAAAACTCGCCTTTACTATTAGAAATCAGAAAAAAAAAGTCACCACCAAAAAAAAAAATCTCAACTCCCTTTCTCCCTAGTGCAAAGAGGAGGCTTAAATATATATTAAAATTCACTAGGCGTTATTTACCTTGTGTTATTAAAATATTACTAAATGTTAAAAAAAAAAAGAAATCAGAACAGCAGGTGCCCTTGAGAAAAGCAGACACAACAAAGGCAGGTCAAGTTCTGTCTCTTGATCTGGGTGCTTACACACTGGAAATGTTCAACTTGTGCAAATTCATCAAGCAGTTTGTTTAGGATACACACACTTTTCTTTTTTTTTTTTTTTGGCACACACTTTTCTATATGTATGTTACATATCAATATAAGTTAATGATGGAAGGAAAATGAAAAGGGAAAAGGTGACCCCCACAACCAGGTAGGGCACACATAGGGTACCTCCTCTGGAAACAGTAATCTATACCCACCACATTTATTCTTAATGGCCTATTTCTGATTCCTATAGACAAAGCACCACCATCAGTATCTCACCTCTGTAACTTAAGTTCTTTGTTTTATCCAATGTTCTGTAATTATCCTAATAATCCAGAACCAGGACATCCTGGTGTGCTGTCTTCACATAAACTCCACCCTCTCCTCCACTCCCTAAAAGTACCTATAATCTTATTTATAGAATAAAAGATTGTTGAGGAGTGAAAGACCCAATTTCTACTCCAATAGTTAACTATCTCCCAGTCCTGTGATCTTGGTAAATACATATCTTAATTTCTCTAAGCTTCAGTTTTCTCATAAAGCATTTCATCCTATATAATAAAAGGCTAATATGCAAATAGACCAACCAGCGGAACAACCAGAACAACCGAACAACCGGTCACTATGACGTGCGCTAACCAACAGGGGGTGTGTGCAGAACATGCGGGCGTTGGCCGCGGCGGGATGGTGGAGCAGGTGAGTGAGGGCACCAGACTAAGGTAGAGCACCAGTCGCTGTCATCAGGGCGAGCCTCCGGTGATTACTGAAAATTCTTTGCTCCTGCGCGCCACAGTCCCGCCCAGCGTTCGCACTCACTGCCGGCGCCGGTCCCCATCACTCCCCACCATCAGTGGGTGTGAGCAGCGACTGCTGGCCCTGACTGCCCCCAAAGGCTTCTCCACCTCCTCCTGCTCCTGAGGGGCAATCGGAGCAGCAGCTGCCACTCAGACCGGCTGACGGCGCCGGCCCCGCTCGCACCTACTGCTGGCACCGGCCCCAATCACTCCATGCCATTAGTGGGTCCGAGCGGGACTGGCGGGTGGGGGGCTGCCGGCAGACAGGGGACCGGGGGACGCGGCAAGAAGGGCCAGGTGGGGGCACGGAGGATGGGCCGAGACCCACCCCTGTGCCTACCGCAGCCTCACGGCCCACAGTTCCTTTCAAGGTGCACGAATTCGTGCACTGGGACCCTAGTCAAATATAAGATGCCAGAAATTAGACAATATATTGTGGTTTTTATATTCCACCAAATACTATCAATTATAATATCAACTGTAAGACACATGCTACTTTCAGACATATTAAACAATTTTTAATAAAAAGGTCATAGAATTGATTAAATATGGCACATTAGAGAAGCATAATTATTTTCTATGTTTATGGTAGAGAGGAACTAAAAATATTTTTTTAAGTACATGTGTAATACATTTTACTGTCTTGCATGCCTTGGAAAAACATTTTGTGAACTGAACAACAAAACACTAGAACTTTTCAAATCTGCCTTCATCACAAGGCAGGAAATCTGTCCTAGAACAGACAGATGATAAGTTCACAGACACTGAAGCAACATTATGCAGACAACCAGCACCGAGGTGGTAATTAGGCGAGACATTCTCAAATAGAGATGTAAGCAATTACTGTAGCACCTTGAAAATACTAATCCTTGCTTTGGGGATGGTAGTGCCTTACACAATCTCAAAGCTAAGCTTTATTTTAATGAGGTCATATAATGTTCAAGAAACTATAAGTTGCTTTTTTATTTTTATTTTATTTAAATATATTTTTTTATTGATTATTTAAATATATTTTTTTATTGATTTTTTACAGAGAGGAAGGGAGAGGGATAGAGAGTTAGAAACATCAATGAAAAAGAAACATCAACCAGCTGCCTCCTGCACACCTCCTACTGGAGATGTGCCCGCAACCAAGGTACATGCCCTTGACTGGAATCGAACCTGGGACCTTTCAGTCCGCAGGCCGACACTCTATCCACTGAGCCAAACCAGTTAGGGCACAAGTTGCTTTTTTAGCTTAACATTTTTATTATGGAAAATTTCTAACACAAACTTAGAGGATGATAGATACACTTCCATGTTACCATCACCCAGCTTTAATTAAAAATTTTACCAATCTTGTTTCATTAGAAATTATTGTTAATGTAAGAAAATTACTATTTAACACGTAAAAAAAAACCTAAGGACAAATAATTACTCTTACCTGGCATGGTAAGAGAAATCTTGCCATGTTCATTTCACTAGCAGATAACTGTGTCTACCAATCATAGACACAAAAGCAGGTGAGATAACTGAGGTCTTTTTACTTTTGGAGTAACTTAAAAAATTTCTTTAGTTAATGAAAAATTAATCCTATACATTTAACTATATTTTACTTCAAATTATACATTTGCAATCCAGTTTTTATTTACTCAAAAACAAAAAATATGAAAATTGCCAAGGGTAAATGGGTGAGACAGTAAATATTTCTTCACCCAGAGTTTGCTGATCTCTCTTACATTTTGTTCATGTATTTAAATAAAGCTAATTTAAAATATTTTTCAAAATATCTGCTGAACCCAAGCAAGTGCTACAGCTATCTATTATTACTAAGAAATAGCTCATTGTAAAGGTCGGTGAAGTGCCAGTTATTTAGTATTTGCTGAATAAAAAATAATTTTAGTGGAGTTGAAATGTGAAATAAATATAAAGATGTATTTTTAATCCTCTCATAAAAAAATATTTTTCAAGTGGTTTGTGTATTTTTTTTCTTAATTTGGCATTATAGTGCTTCCAACACTCTGCAAAATTTCTCTACCATTAAACTCTTAACTTCAGGGGATCACTGTAAGGGTTATTTGAGTCCAAGTAAAGGACCTAGAACAATGTCTGGCATAGAAAAACAACTCAAAGCATGGTGTATTGAACACAAAATCAGAAACAGGATAATAGGACTTCTCTAAGAAAAAAAAACTGTCAAAGATAAATAGCAATCAGTGTTAGCTTGAGTTCAAAAGTGCAGGAACATGTAAAAACTATGTTCCTTCTTTAGCTTTCAGTTTCTAACATGGCTTCGTGAACTAAACTTAAATTTCTTTCCCTCTATAAAATACAGCTCTAACTAAATTAATTTTTTTTTTTTTAGGATCACCATTAGTTTAACAATATTACTTTCTATGTTGAAGTAGATAGAAAGATCTGGTCCCTAAAAACTCTACAAGAATCAGCCTCTCTTCAGACTCAGGTTACAAGATCATTTATGTTTCTAACAGAAAATAATTTACTAAAATGTTGCATGAAAGCACAGTCACATCACTCATTAATCAAACTAAATGCCAATCATCCACTAGCTCAAAAGAGAGCTCAGCGTTTTTTCACAATGACAACAGGGAGCAGCCTCATTCTGGTCAGCTGATGTGATGGCCTCTTTACACAATTTCTCTGTTCAGTATTATATTTAATTTTTCCCCAGTTTCTCAGTAACAATTTCACTGTTAATCCTGTGTTCTTTGTTATTAGCCTGTACCCTGATGATTTATAAATGGATTTTTCTTCACTTTCCAAGATGACTTAGTCTAAGTTTTCCCCCCATCTCATTACCGCTCATAACCAAGAAGTCCCTCCATCTAGCCAGCATGGCTCAGTGGTTGAGCATCGACTTATGAACCAGGAAGTTAGGGTTTGATTCCCGATCAGGGCACATGCCCAGGTTGTGGGCTCAATCCCTAGTGGGGGGCTTGCAGGAGGCAGCCTATCAATGATGCTCTCTCATCATTGATGTTTCTATCTCTCTCTCCCTCTCCCTTCTTCTCTGAAATCAATAAAAATATATATTTAGAAAACAAAGGAGTTCCTCCTTCATATACTGCATCCTGACTCAGTAAAGCACCCTAAGTCATGCCTTTATTAAGAGAAAAACCACCCTTAGGTCTTTTTAGCTTGCAGCCATTGGTTCTTTATGCAACTAAGTATTTTACAAATACATATTTCTTATTCCTACAGTTCCGTATATTTGTGCATAGCAGAGAGAAAATACTATGCAAGTGACCAGAGAAATATTTTAAAGCACACATGTCTCTAGATAAACTGATTATGCATCTTAAGATATAACACCGAAAATAACAAAAGTTTCTCAAAAGCAGTCATTAAGCATTACATCTGGATAATTTGGTGATGAGCAAATGCCAAACCCAAGTAAAGGAACAATGGGGAAAAATCAAACCACCCCTCACTCTGCAACTCTTATTAATGGAGGCATGTGCATTGCTCCAGATACACCTACAGACACAATCACTTCCCCACATATTCCCATTTCAATAACTACCTCTCTCAAACTTACCAAACTTCGATACTGGCCCTGGAATAATTTTGAAGTCCGACTGTGGGAAGGCTGGGATCCCAGGGAGTCAAAAGACTTTATCCGATGAGATGAGGGCCGGGCACACACAGAGTCACTTCCCAGTCCAATGTCTGAAAAGGTCGTGAACGGAGAAAAGAGTGAGCTGAGACGCCTGACACCATGCACCCTCAGTGCACACCAGACTCTAAACTGGGGCAGCCCCCGAGGGACGCACCACAGACCACAACAAAGCAGGCCATTTATGCAACACACAAAGCGCAGATTCTGTCTACCACAGACTGCCCTCATTCTCCAATCACCTTTCCAAAAATTAATTGGAGATAACTATTTATTCGTTCTTCGCTAGCATAATTTTCAAACTTATGAAATGTTCTGTAACCTATTTTTAATACTTCCACTTCATCTGGGGGGGGGGGGGGAACACCCTTACTAATTTAATTATTTTGCAGAGCACGACCCCATACTCATTCCCAATACATCACCACCACATGCCCACTTCTCCAGGATCACCGTTCACATAAGCAGCAAGAATTATTTAACAAAAGGAAAAGACTTACTTAAAACCAACAGAAAATCCCCTTGTATTTTGCAGCTAGAGACACTTCTGAGGATTATTTCCTCAAAATGAAGGCAGCACAAGCTTTATTCACCTCACCAAGTTGGTGAAAAGATCAAAGTAAATAGCTATTGCCCTAGCCAGTTTGGCTCAGTAGACATAGCTTCGGCCTGTGGACCGAAGTGTCCCAGATTCGATTCTGGTCAAGGGCACGTACCTGGGTTGCAGGCTCCTCCCCGGCCCGAGCCCTGACTGGTCAGGGCTCGTGCAGGAGGCAACCAATTAATGTGTTTCTCTCATAGAGATGTTTCTCTGTCTTTCCCTCTCTCTTCTACTCTCCATAAAAATCAATGGAAAAATATCCTCAGGCGGGGATTAACAACAACAACAAAAGTAAACAGTTATTAAAGGGCTTAGTTCTCTCTCTCTTCATGATTACACACTCCACACAGGCCAACCAGTAAGTAAATGTTAGCAACCCACTTCTTTGAAGTAATTTTATTTTTTTAAAAAGGAGGCCATGAATAGTTTTCTAAGAAATCACTGTTCTGAGATACATAGGAAACTGCCTAGCAATTTCCTAAAGATACATGGGAGCCTTCTGTAAGAATGTTCTTAAACTGATGATCTCCAGGTCTATTTTCCTGGCAGATATTTGGATTGGCTTACATATCAAACTCGTGGCCCATGGGCTGCATGTAGCTCACAATGAATATTTTTGCAGCCCAGCCAACATAGAGTATGTAAGAAACATTTTTTAAAAATTTCTTAACTTAATTTTTACAATATCCTGTTATACATAGTTATTAATAACAACTACAACATTCGCTAATGAGTGATTACTATAATCGTGTTTCATTCATTTCCCTTACATGCCTTACGCGCAGGCGCGCCATTTCTCTCCACTAATACTAGCAGCAAATGTTTTAGCAGGCGATTGCCAAGTCATTATTCTTGGACTGACTTGTTTGGTGTGCGCAACAGGAAATATTTCACTTTCGGAGAACAAGAAAAATATGTTTATTTGCATTATGCTTATTAATTTGTGCAGTTATTCAGTGTCTGGTAAGTTAATGCTCATTTTCATAAAAATTAATATTTTGTCTTGTTCTTTTATTTTATGTTAACGATTACTCATTTACTTCAGCCCTTTGTATTCAGCATGTCTCTATTGAAATAAACCTACGTTCCTATGAAAATTGCAGCTTTTGTTTTTTTGCGGCCCACATAAACTTAAACCTTGTTTATCTGGCCCGTGTTAGCCTTTAAGTTTGGCATGCCTGGCTTACCTAGTGTCTTATAAAATTTGAGTTAGCTGTCAACAACTAAACGCCTGAATATGTCACAGAAAAACCCAAATTTCCAGTTGCTCTTGCAGCACAGGCAGCCCCTAGATAGGCATCCCAGCAAACAAGTGCTGTGAGGAACACCAGGGATAGTTCCTGAGTGCAGAGGACGTCCCAGCCAGGATTGTAGCCCAAAGTGTTCTGACTCAGTTCCTCCCGGACACAATGAAGTGAGTACACTCCATCTGAAGGGCCAGGACACAAATGGGAAAAAACCATGACAAAATAAACTTAAGAGGTCTCTGATCAAAAGAGACATATCAAAGTCTAACTTTCCCCCAGAAATCTAAAACTAAAATCTGTAAGAAAAATAAAAATGACCTTAAAACAAAAGAGCCACTAAGTCCTTCTTTTAGATCCACAAGATAGAACTTCTCGGAGCTCATGGGACAGTTATAGCCCATGAGGAATTTGCACAGAATCTCTCCTTGTCCTCACTTTGGTCTGGGAGCCAGAGGAGTATACTGTGTCCCCACCTCCACTCACCCTCTCCATGAGATATGACTGGAGTTCAGAACACTGTGAACCAAGTACCCTGAGTACGTACCCTCATAGCCCTTTGGAAACTTTGCCCAGGTAGGTATTTACTTTAGAGGCCAATTCACTAGCTACTCCACTGTCATGATCACACCTCAAAAATAGTCATTAGATCTGCTAATAAATATGAGTTTTAATCAGCCTAATAAAAATCCAGAGGAAGTGTAGCCACGTGAATGAGACGTTTCTCCTTTGCTCTATTTTCAGGTAGTAACTACTCTGCCCACAGAAAGGAAAACACCTGATATCCATCTGAGGACCTAAAATGGAAGATTCTGTTCTAATAAAAAAAAAAATCCTAGCAAAAGTGACAACCAAAAATGTAATGCAATAGAAGCTTATTTCTTTGAATTTTATTAATGCTCATTTGTCTTGCTAAAAGAAAAGGTTTTGCCCTTCTGTCTTACACCCCGTCAAGTTCAATTAAAAAAAGATCTTACCTGCTGTTACTTTATTTAAAGTCACTAAGGAACTGAGGACCTTGTTAAAATTCTGCCCCTGGTACAAATCATTTGCATCAAACGTCTGAAAGGAAAAATTAAACAAAATTAATAGAGTCTTGTGTTGGGTGCAGGATAAACCAAGTTTTTGCAAAATGAGAGAACCACATGTAGGATTTCCAGGTAAAATCATAAAAATGCAGCACAACTTGAAAAATCAGGACCGGTGAGCTCAGCTTCCAGTCTGGGGGTGGGAGGTCCAACGGAATTCCCTTACATATACCTTAAACCTGGGCCAGAGACCAACTCCCCACACTCCTTCATAACCTGCAGTGGAAGCCCTTCCCAGGTTAGGGAGCCAAATATGCCAGCACTCAGTGAATCTGGGGTGTTTTCCCAATCCTTCTCTTTTTAGATTAAGGCAGAGGCCACATGGCAGGCACACTACCAATTTCCTCTCCTAGTCACAGTCAATTCCAAAGCTAACAGCAGCAAAAGAGAAACACAGGCATCAGAATGGATGAGAGTAAAAGGAAGGGAAGATAAAAAGATGCAGATTCCAGAATGAGAACAGGTATGGGGGCAAGGGAGTACGGGACCCTCAGGGACGAGGGCTGAGGACCGACCAGAACTATCTAATCTGAAATTCCTTCAATCTGAGTGGCCTAGAGACAAGGGGAAAATGAGTCAGCCCCAATGCACACACACATTAAAATAAACAAGAGCTCATTCCCATACACTATCTGAAAATTACATATAGCTTTTCATCACCAAATAAACTCCACACAAAAAAATTTTTTCAATAATCAAATAACCCACAACTCTGCCAGAAAAAAAATTATGAAAATATTTCAAAGATGCAAATAACAAAAAGATATGGTATTTAGATCCACCAAAATGTAAATTGTGTTAACATATTTCCAAAAGTTTCTCTCAGTGGGACAAAAACAAACCAACATGACTAGATATCCAAGAATGAATATCAGCACAGGAGGGCCCAGACATTCTCTCCCGCTGACTGCCACCTCTCTCCTCATTTGGTCAGTTCCTCTACCTCATGGATCCTGGCAGGACCACCCCCTTTCCTGCCTCCCAGCCCCCACCTCTTTCCTGGCTAATTCTTACTCATCGGACTTCCCCCAGCCTCACTTCCTTCACCAAACTCAGTTAGGTCCCCTACCCAGGCCCCGTCAGCACATTCATCACAAAGACAACATTCCATTTAATGTGTATATGCCCCTCTATACTGTCAAGTCTACAAAACCAGATTTACAACACCCAACATCTAGCAAAATGACCAGCACACAGTAAAAATTCAAGTTATTTGCTGAATGAATAAATGCACCAATCCATCCACCCATCCACCATTTATTTAGCTGCACTAAATGTCACTGTGAGTGCCATTCCCATAAAGAACAGCTAAGAAGAGCCATTCCAAATCTGAGTAATTATTGCTTTCTCAAAAATCATCTTCAGTAATGATCTTCTGCCTGTAATTTCTGAAACAGAAGGTTTGTTTTGAATATGAACAAACAACAAAATAAGAAAATTCAGAAGTTGAAAAACTTCAAGAAAGGAAGGCATCAAATCACTGAGTCAAGAGGAGCTGAAAACGCAGCTTTTTGTAAAAGCTGAAAGAGGAAACTAACTGGAACCACAAGACTTAAAAGATATGAATACATCTAAGCATTCTGTATACAATGACTGATGCCCTATCTCACATAGTTGAAATACAAAATAAAGCTAATTTCATGAGGCCAGATCCTTCCTATAAAAAGAGATAGCCCTTAGAACAGTCTTAAGAACTATTTTATAATATACAACTTAATTCATTTATTCTGATACTTATTTTTAAAGGAATTCCAAGTCAAATCAGAGCATTATCTAGGCTGACATATCCACCTACATTTTTTTAAATGGGCTAATTATATATTTTTTAAAGAATTAAAAGTATTAACCTCAGTAGACCTCAGTTTCCTTACATGTAGAACATGTTACTTGTAAAATGCTGGAGTAGGTGATCTGCAGCAGTCTTTCAGCTCTAAAATTATAATTCTAGAGCCTGGAAAATTAAAACTGTGGTATTCTACAAAAAGAAATCTACATAAATTGTCTACTAACCTTCATTGTGGTGAAGCAGCAAGTCATAAAACCCAGAAAAACAGGATGTTGAATACTGAAGTTTCCTGTTATTCCAGAACTATATATCTTTCTTACTTGGATACCAGGAAGCGTCTGGTTGGCTAAAACTGCCCACCAATGGGGTTCAATGTGACGTCAGAAATTAAGTGAATTCACATATATCCTACATTTCTTAACAGGAAACTACACAATGAAATGAGACAAATGCTTGCCACTAAGAGGAAAATAATGCATATTCTGAGTCAATAAAATGTTTTGACTAAAAAGTGCTTCTCCAGAGGAAGATAACAGACTATTTCCTGAAATATGAATCTATTGAACAAAAAGCAAAACCAGAAAAATCTTAGGGCCCTGAGAAAGTGTACTATGAGAACAAGAGGAAAGTCTCATTAGAACTTTTATTGAAATCTCTCTGCAAAAATAAGTCAGCCTATATCTGAGAAGGACCAGGACATTTAGCACACCAAATTATCTCCTGGATCACTCGGTGCTTAAGGAGATAAAAACCCTGGGAGGCTGGCCCACCTCATGACCTAACCACTGATGCTCTAAGAGCAGCACACTCTCTCACCTCTGGCTGGAATATGGAGCAAGCAAGCCGGAAGGAAGGAAACAAACACAGTGGTTCCTTTTCTTCAGGTGGTATTGGGAGAGTGATTATCAGGAGGGACTGCACATTAGGATTTCCTGGAACTTTTCTAAACCAAGACGACTTTACAAAATCAAGCCACATCTCAGACCAATTTAATTAGAGTCTCCAGGGAAGAGACCCATGTTAATGCTCTCCAGGTGATTTTGAGCGCCCAGGGGTGAGAACCACCTCCCTGAAGAGATGAGGAAAGTGTCCTGAATCCTCTCCCTAGGCAGGCCCACCCTTCACGCATGTCCCTTATAAGCACAGTAAGGAGGGAACACACAATACCCCATAGATCTTAGAATCTACCCAGTTGGAAAAGTATATTAACCAAAAACTCACCCTCACTTTTACATTTAAGTGAATTACGTGTGCAGTAGAATGATCCAATATTCTCAATAACAACAAAAATCCGATCAATAATCCAACCAAAAAACTCATAATACTAAAAACATTAGAGTTTATTTTTAATATTTTACTTTTAATAGATGCAGATTCCAGAATGAGAACAGGTATGGGGGCAAGTGAGTCCTTCACCCTCCAGGAAGAGGGCTGAGGCCCGACCAGAGCTGTCTAATCTGAAATTCCTTCAATCTGAGTGGTCTAGAGACAATACTACATAATGAAATACAATACAAACCATACAGAAATCAGGATAGAAGAGGCCCAGAATATTAAAATACTTTTAAAAATAAAAATAAAAATTTAAGAAATCTCTCTAGTCTCTCATGGAGAAAGAGAGACAAGGCTGAACTAATATGACAAGGCATGTAGTGAGGAGGCAATACTGTTCTGTGAGGACAGATAACCTTTCTGAACTTGAAGGCTGCCCCCTGCTGGTTATTGCCTTACACAACTTACTGAAGCACTCTGGGCCTCAGGTTGCTCATCCTTAAAATGGGAAGGAGGAACAGAGAGGATACTGAGATTACAATAATAATGATAGGTAGCAGCAATGTGCAAACACTTCAATGTTCAAAAAGGATAATGATTTAAAAAACAGTGTGAATCTTGCACACCAAGCCTTAAGGTCTCTTGTAAAAAATGACCCATCAAAAATTACGTCCTACCAAGGAAAACTCTTATTTTCTAAAATACAAACAACTACCAAGAAAAAAAAAAAAAAGCTTCCTCAATTGCTGTAGGTGCTCAAGAACATCTTAAAAACCATCCAGAGAAAGGACCACAAATCTCCACACCACATGCTGCACATGCCACACACACACACACTGCAGCATACAAACCACACACTGCACACACCAAACATGAACGCTTTTGTAGCACACACACACCACAGAAAGTACACACTGCAAATGCACACTGCTTCTGTAGCACATGCACACTGCTTCTGCAGCACACACCAAAGCATGTGCTGCACACTATACACATGCACACATTGCTTCTGCAGCACACCCTACACAATGCACAGGCAACACACCAAACACTGCACACACTGCTTCTACAGCACATCTACTACACCATATAGCACAGCACACACACTCACTGGTGCCAACCTCCACCAATGTACATCAGTATCAGCAAGAGTCCAGCTCATACTCCAACAGGAGATTGCCTTACTCCATATCAACATTCCCATCCAGAATTCCTACTCAAGCTGCTGCTTGTGACACATACCCCCAGCCCCACACTCGCCTTTAAGCCTCAACAATGTTGGACTCTTTCGCTGCCCCAAGGCTCATGAGGGGAAATACAAACACCAACATGAAAGAGGAAGGACACCCTTACCAGCATGTACCCCAGGTCTGCTCAACACTGTGGATGTGATGGCTGCTGCCCATCACCAAAGCAGCTGCCCCCATTTGAGAACGCTTCTGTAGAACTCTCACTCCCCTCACTATCTGCTGGACACTGAATATCCAATGCCTTCTCCCACTATTAACTCTCAGAGTGGGAATCATGGCCGACCTCACCTGAGCCCATTTTAAAATGCAATGTGAACAATGCACAATCACAAAATCCAAGCAGCACTATCAGTGGGGGTTTCAGGAGAAGGTTGTGCCTTTTTCTACCAACAACAAAAAAAAAAAAGCAGAAAATGAACTATTTTACAGGGAAAAGTCCTAAAATCCAGGTTGATGAAAGTGTAATCTATAAGAACAATTATAAGCAGATATTTTAAAAGAAACATGCAAGTACAGACATGGCAGAATCACCCCAAAATTAACAACTTCCTTTATCAGGGAAAAGTACCAAATACCAAAAATATTCTAGCCAAGAACTTATTCTCCTTGTATCAATCAAAACAGGGCATTGCTATACTCTTCCTTAAAGTATCAGCATAAATACTT